GAATGCCTTTTAATTCCTTCTGCTTGAATTTTTTTTTCAAATGCAGAACTTTCAAGGCATTACAAAGTTACTTACAAACTGAAAATCTAAAATGATTGGTTTAACCATAATAAAAGAAAATGGAAATTCCATTAATACTGCAAACAAGCATCCTTGTCTTTTGTGCATTTTGGGTGAGGAAGATTAATTATGTGTCTCATGAAAATTAAGTGAAACCTGATATTTAAAAAGCTGCATATAACCATAACCAAAATTGTCAAAAGATGTTACTATTATTATTATTATTTCCTTTGATTTCTGTTGTATACTCATTTTCTTGTGGGTCCCAACCAGAGACCTAAGGTCAGAAATGGCATCATGACATTTTCTGCTGAAGATTTTGATAAAATAAATTCAACTTAAGATCACACACATTTTTCATTGATAACTCCCTTCATAAGGTGTGAGCTGTACTTGTAAGAACAGTTTTTTGTTTTTATCATCATCATTATTATTATTATTATTGGCCAGAATCTAGTCCATATTAATTTCTATTGATAATTAATCAAAATTTAAAATAACCAACACACTTAAATGTTTCTCCTGTATTTCTCTTGTGGCATTGCAGGTAATCCCTTTTCATTCCAAAAATGATAGAGACAGTCTTATGAACAAATTGTCAGACAAAATGAATGCACAGCCTGAGGTACGTATCTCTTTGGTTTTGTTTTTTTTTCCCCCCTCTTCACTTTTATGTAGTCATTTTTTCCTGCCTGACACAATTCCTCTTTTAAGCCAGCCTTCCTGTGTCACTTGAGGCCTTGAAATTATTTGAGAGAAATGAAAAAAAAAATTCCTGTCTTCTTTCACCAACTGGAGGGAGAGAATAATCTTGACATTTTTTTCTGTTTCTGCTTGCATTGACATGCTCTCTATTAAAGGCAGCTTATGACTATATCATATTGAAACACCCATTCTCCTATGATTGCCAAAGTTAAGCAACATTGAACCTAGTCATTAACTAGATGGGTGACTGCTTGGGAATACCAGGTGCTGTAAGCTGGGTGTGCAGATGATGTAAAGATTGGAGAGCCAAATTCCAATTCCATTCAGGTTCATTGTATTCACTTACGTGCAAATATCTTTGCGAAAGCCATGAATCCACCTCTTCTACCCCCACCACCAGGTTTAATTAGTAGGATTTGTATCAATAAATTATCTCCCAAAATTTCTTAGTCTAAAAAATATTTTCTGGCTTGAAGTCAACTGCAAAGGGTTGATAAGCCATAAAAACAAAGTCTGTTATAAAAGAAATACAATAAAAGAGTGAAGAAGACATTTTTCAATTGTGTCATTGGATTTTCCATTATTTTGCAGTAGTCTTCTTTCTGAATAAAAAGATGATCATTTGAGGATTTCTGTCGAGGGTCAACTCTTCAAGTTGACAGATTGAAAAAGTTTAGAAGCTTTTAAGAGATTCTCCAACTTATTTTCAAGTTGGCTTTCATTTTTCATACTACCTCATGTTTAAAAGAATGAATTTGAAACATTGCAACAGTCAACACAATTGTAGAATCTGTCAAAACATGACAGAATTGTTTTTGTCTGGAACAGAAAGTCTGCCTTGGCTTAAAGTGTTACTTTTACCTGCAAATAGTATCACTCTGCTCTGAGATACACACATAACAGGCCAAAAGTTTTGGGTCACCCTCTGAATTTTTGAAGAATTGCCTTATAATTGAAGGTTTCATGCCTTTTTCAATACTGATTTACTAGCTCACTTTGTATCGGACTTTCTCTTTCTGAGGGGTTTCATCATATATTCAATAATAATAATAATGAAATTGGTCCATTACTGCATAAAGTTTCCTTAAAATTCTAGTTCTTTTTACCAGATCAACCTTGTTGGCTTATGATAATCTTTGAGTTGGTGGATTTAAAATTTTAGTTAACCACTCTCCGAAAAAAATTGGACACAGTACACTAATGGGTTAAATAGTTTCAGTCTCCTAGCTTAGTAGGAGTTAAAGCAAAGAATGCATTAAAATTACTAATTATTAAATCGAAAGGGTGGCCCCAAAATTATGGCCTATTGTGTATGTAATAAATAAATAAATATATATATATATATATATATATACACACACACACACAGCTTATTTTCACAACAATTAAGAAAAACAATACTAGGATGGAGAAAGCGAGTGAAAAGAAAGAGGAAATGATGAAGGTAGAAAAAAAGAGACAAGTTTGATGTTTTGAGTTTTATTTCTTTGGTCTTTTAAAGTGGGCAAAGTAGTTTTTTTTTTTTTTTTTCCTTTTTATAGTCTGGCAGACTCCAGCCTTAATATATAGATACCATAATCTCTCCTTTTCTCCACAATATTTTGTCTGACCCATTGTCTATACTTCCTCAGGTGAAATGGGGTACTCAAGGAATATATAAAGCTGTTTAAGATGATTTAACTAAAGATGGATAGAAAATGGGCTGGTCAGAATGTGTGCTGGTGTGAAGGCTAGCCATAAATGCAAAAATACTTGTGCAATGAACAAAAATTCAAGAAAACCATTTGTTGCTCATGAAAATGTTTCCAGTTTATGTTTATCTGCTGAGAGAAAGAAATATTTGTCATTTTTAAGTTGAATATGTCTGATGACATTTTAATCTTCTTTAGTTCTTCTGTTGGGGAGAAATACTGATTAATGCTAATCTGGGTTTTTTTTTGGTTTTTTTTTCTCTCCCACATATTTTCAATTTACTGACAGTCCTAATGTTTCTCTTTTTTTTTCCTCAGGTGACACTAAATGAAAATGACATTGTTCTTGAGCATCTGTATGCTTGTTTCTCAGGGGATATTTGGTTCCGTGTGATTCCAAAAGAAATCCAAAAAGACACCGGTGATGTAAGCTTTTTTTTTTTTTTCTTCCAAACTGTTTTGTAAAAATTACTAATGTCTAAGTAAAAAGGGAAATGGTTTTAAAAATTTTTAATGTATGAACAGTCCCATAATAGACTTGTATATATCATTCATACACTAAATACAACAATTTTTATGGGACAGTAAGAAATTTCAAACTTAGACAAAAGTTCACCCAGTACAAGGCTTAAAGCCACTCAGGGTAGAGGTGTGTATGATATGAATGTAAGAGTAGGTGGTAGGAAGTAAAGATTATGAGAATAGATAACAATCGACCCTTGTCTTGAAGAGTTTAAGATTGTAGTGTCGAAAGGGAAAACTTTCCCGTGGAAATTTCTACTTAAATTTGGAATAGAGGAAATGGAGGTGATTTAACTCCGTAGATGTAACACTGAACTGGTTGAACTAAAGAATGGAAATAACAATAGAATAGAGATTGGCTTTCAATGTTGCATCTGTGGGAAAGAGGGTGCCAAGTGGAAAATGTCACACCCCCCCCCCCCCAAGACTGTGTAAATGATTTTGAACTATATCAAGGCTGGAAAAGGAGGATTGGGTAGCTCCTACCCAGATATGGCAGCAATATTTAATGTTAGACTTTATCATTACAAGAGTCAGATTGACTTGAATGAGTCTGTTACTTTCTAAAGTTCTGGAATGTTTTCCCAGCATCTTTAACCCTGGATTGTATAAAGGAGTTTTACTTGAGGTTTGGAGAGACCCATTAGGCTTTCAAAGCATGGAGCCTCATTAAGATAACTGTTTATTCTCACTAGGGAAGACTTCTGATCAGTAATGATGAAGTGATATGAGCTTTGTTTTTAAAGCAGTGGTCGCCAACCTTTTGAACTTCATGGACCACTAAATGTATATGAAATGCAGCCATTAAAGGTAACAAAGTTATAGTGTAATTATTTAAATAAAACAAATTGAAAATTGGAAGTTTTATAAAAATTGAAATAATGTCCCAATTTTTTTGTGGACCATCAAAAATTTTGCATGGACCACTGTTTTAAAGTATTGAGTGTTACTAGCCAGAAATTGAGCTGGGTTGAACGAGAAATCAGCAGCAAGGCACTGATCATTAAATTGCGGTGTCAGCTGCATGAATATTTACTAATGCTTGTCCAAGGCAGATTGTTAATAGAAAGTAGAAATGTTAGTTTTTTCTTTGTTCAGCTGCCCCACTTTTCAAATGCAATGGAAGAATCCGTTCAATCTTAGTGATCTCGCATAATTCGTAGACCAGTTCCACATTCTCGATTCACTCAACCACAAGCTGTCCAGTTTTATGGTCATTGAATTTGGGGATCAGTTTTATGTCGAATGCTCTTTCTGCCATCTTGCTAGAGTCAAAGCAATGCCAAAATAGCTTGTTTGGGTATCAACTAATGGGGTCAGTAGAAACAAAAAAAAAAATCCCTGTGCCAATGCTAAGTTCAATTGTGAATCTGTTGTAAACAGTCCAGCAGGCAATGTAGTAATGAAAAACAGGGTCAGAAATCCAACCTCCCCCCCCTCGCAACAGCAAAAATTGATTAGTGCCGACGGATATGATTGAGTCTAGCAGATATGGGGGTTTACAAATTATTCCTAATGAATCTACTCTCTCGGTTTTGGTATTCATTATATAAAAGTAAAGTGGATACCAAACAAGCAAACACATACAAAAATAGATTGGTTCTGTTTTTGTTTTCTTTGTTGTCAAACTCTGACTGGCCAACCTAAAGCTGCAAATTCAGTTTGAATGAAACTGAACTTTTTAATTTTTTTTTTTTTTTTTTTTTTTGAACTCTCCTTTAGGTGTTGGTTTTGTATCCTGACTATGGCCAATTTAATTTGATAAAAATTGATGATATCCAACCTTTGCCCTTGGAATTCTGGGAACTTCCTTACCAAGCCCTCAGATGCAAGCTGCATGGTAAGGTTATTTTAACATTTAATTTTTTTTTTTTTTTTTTTCCTCAGCAATTGTGTGTAATTTTTAAGTTGAGTGCTGAAGCCTATTTTGATCTTGTTGTTTCTTCTGCTACCAGAACATTTCAGCTGATGTATTCTTCAGCCTTTCTCAGTTATACGATTGCCATTTTCTCATCGAACAAACCATCACATGCTTAGGAAAAAAAAAGATGTTAGTAAACGTACTGATTGAATCAACCCTCTACACAAAAAACCTCATAGCAATGCTTCTAACACAATTTCCCATTTTTATGCTAAGAAATCCACACTGCAGCCACTCTTGATTTTTCTCACTTTCCAGTCCTTCTCTTTTGGTCTTTCTTGGACCTTTTCCCTTAATATGGATAGTGTGTCCTACCAGACCCTCACCTTTGGACATTTGTTTCTGGAGCCAGGTTGTTTCTACAATGTTTGTGAGGGTCAAAGTTTGGCATTGAAAAGCACTCAGATATTGTAATATACACAAATCATTTCAATTCATTCATTCATGCATGCATGATGGGCTTAATGTGACTTCATAGTTGGTACCTTATTTGAATCTTAACATCTGTAAGGAGGAAGAAAAAGACTGACCTCTGAGGTTTTAACTCCATTATTATCAGCAAGTAGTTGTATAAATTAATGAAAAAAGTCTGCCAAAAGTCTGTAGTGGAGAACACCAAGTGAAGATGAATTTAATTATTGTGCTCCAAAGATGTGCAACAATTGCTGTCATTGTAAAACTAACTGAAATTTCCCAACCACCCACAAATGAACATCTGTATTGAACTGTTGGCATGAATGAAGGAATATTGATTTTTCTCAGCCAGATAGCAAATTACTGCTCTTCAACAGAGTTACTATGAAAATGAAGATTTTTACATACAGATCATAATTCTTCATGTAATAATCTTCATTTAACATATTTGAACAAATAGGAGTTTTATAAAATACATTCTGATCTTGAAGTTGGGAAAATAAAAAAAAAAAAAAAATCTTAGAAAGTTGGTGGCAGGGTAGTTTAGAGTGAGGTGACTTTGAATACTAAGCCTTGAATGATAGGCAGTTTTATGATGAAATGGAATTAAAATATGTGGAATTTTTCACAATGTCAGTTAAGAATTTAATAAATGTAAAACTCATTTTTTCTTCTTCTTTTTGTCAGGTATTGTTCCTGCTGAGAAGCCCATCTGGAGTGAAGCTGCTAAATACAAATTCCATGAAATCGCTCAGAACAAGCACTTTGCTTGCCTTGCTAAGATGCCTGCAACTGAAAATGAAAATCTGTCAATTATTCTGATTGACACTTCTGGTGAAGATGACCTCTGCATTGATGATGTTCTCATAGCCTATGGCTATGCCAAACGCACATTAACCTTGACGACAGATGAAAAGTGATTCTAATCAGATAGGCTGCGTGCGGGTTTCTTTGTTTCTCACTGACAAGAGACTTCATCAGTTTTTCTTCCCTCTTCTAAGAATTTTATTTTTTTAGCAAGAGAAAAAAAAAAAAGAATAAGTGGGAAGAAATGAAGATTCAATGACAATAATTGTCATGAGTTTGAATTTCCAATTAAAGAATTTTTTTTTTATCCTTTCCTGCAGCAATGTTGCCTCCCATCCCCTTTTACAGTGTAAACTCTAATAACCAAGCAACAAACTTCTGGCCACTATGTAAACAACTCACTCATTTACTACTTTTTAGTTCTCTTATGATTTGTTTTATTATTCCAATAATACTGAGAAACCTTTTCTTAAATCACATCACATTTGTTTTTGTAGAATTTATTACTTGACAAGGGCTGTAGGTGGGGAGAATTGTTGAATGTAAATACATATTTTTTTTTTTTAAATGATTGTATTTAGGGTAAAATAGATTAAGTTATCTGCTGTATTTTTTAAACTTATCTATTATGTCATCTTCTAGTGCTATCTTTAAACTATCACTCATGATAGGTAATTGTGTTTTTTCTGAGATCCTTTCTCAAATTTATATCAAGCAGGCTCACTCAGAAAGGCGGAGAGAGAGAGAGAAAAAAAAAAAAATTGTAGACTTTACTGCAATCAGATGCAGTCTTTACTAGTGTTGTAGCCAAGTTTCCTAAAAAAAAAAAAAAAAAAAAAATCATCTTTGTCTTAGAAACATCAATTACGACCACTAAAACTCTATCTTTTAATATCGTATCCCTCCCAGAAACAATTTTTTTTTTTTTGAAAAAAAAAAAAATGGCAGAAAAAAAAAAAAAAATTTCTAAGTCACCTACTCTCTACTGTCCTCTCTAAAGCACATTCTTTAATCCAAAACAAAAATTTCTTCACACTGTCAATGTTGGTAAATATTATTGGGAATTTAAAGAAGAAACCAGTCTGATATTTCCAGAAGACCTGCTTCCCTACCCCTGCCTCCCAACTCCCCTAAAGAAAGGGCACTGAGAACAGGATGTCTATTGTTCATACACCATTGAATTATTTCCGTCAAGTTTTATTTATTTCATATCTATTTTTATATGTGAGGGAAGTTGGGGGAGTTTGCTGCCCTCCAGATTTGGCTTTGCTTTTTTTTCTCCCAGACTGTGTGAAAAAATTTCCAAAAGGATTTTGGACATTTCAAGATTATAACCTGAATAATAAAACGTAATAAAAACTGGGGAAAGAACTTAACATTGGTTTTTGTTTTTTTATTATGAAATGTTTTGAGGAGAGAAAAAAAAAAAAAAATTATTTATTCTTTTTTGCTCCTTTTCCTTTGGTCGGTTTTGCAAAAAAGGCTGGGTCAATCTGGTCGGAAGACAGCCCTCGTACAGCAAACAGCCGCTGTGCTCTTTCAGCCAGGGTTCCTCCACACTTCAGGCCTCTGTCCATGAGAGCAGATTTCAGCTTTTCAAGACCCAGGCATTCAAGATCTTCTGCACAATTAGCTTTTTCAAAAACTGCAGTTAAATCCTGAAAGAAAATGGAGAGGAGGAAATAAAAAAAAAATAGACAAATATAGTCCAATGGAAAATAAAACTGCAACATACTAACAGGCAGGTTGGTACAACATTACTTTCCAAAAAGCCTTTGGCTATTTTATTTTGACTTCATGAACATCTTTGATAGTTTTTCCAACAGGAGTTACAAAAACCTTGTCCCTTATTGAACATATTTTACCTGATTCTTGCAGAATCTTCTGGTAAAATTGACGATGTTACATTTCCCCAAATAGAAGAATAAATAAGACAATCCTTTCTCACCTGTACATTCTCTTCAATGGTGTGGCCAGATATTGGCTCACTACTTGCAACTGACTGGCTGCTTGTTGTGGTGGCACTGGGTAAAGATTCAAGTGAACTTTGGCTATCAGAATTTGCTGTCTGTAATTCCTGATCAGGTGCAGCTGAAGTGGAAGCTCCACTTTCTGTTGTTTGTGAGGTTGGAAAACCAGGGCAGGCACGGGCTCCACCAGTGACATCATCGTCAGACATCTCACTGTTTGTGCTATCATCTTCCATCACTCCAATCCTGAAAGATTACATGTAAATTAAGTTTTGTTTACCCAACTCTCCACACTGAATATTTAGAAAAAAAAAATTTTTTTACAAGGTATCACTTACCAATCCCATTGCTTCTGTAGAGAAGCATCAACTTTTCTTTTCTTTGCTGATGTCACTGTACCATTACTGCTTGCTGTTGATGCAGCCTGTGCTCGTTTAAGGCCTGGATTTAAAAAAAAAAAAAATAAAGTATAAAAAAAAGACAGTAACTTTATATTCTCAAGATTGTAAGCTGGCATAAAGCGATTAATAGATGAGTTAGTATTAATGTAGAGCAGCCGACAGATGATGTTTACTCCCTGAGGTCCTAGAGCGGTGACTCTCAACCACCTAAATATGAGGAAGTAGTCATGATACAGTGTTAGTATTTTACTAAATAAGTTGCACAAATAGTTGAATAGAAACCTTGAAATAAAGTAAGTGCATATTAGTGTGTCTTTTTTTTTTTTTTTTTAAATCTATGGTTTCTATTGCAGCCCAGCCACCATTCCCTACATTAGCATTCCCTACATTAGAATAGGAAAGAAAATAAAATTTCACTTAACCTTGCTGAAGAGCAGCATCAAGATCTTGTGATACTTTCTCTTTCTGTTGATCATAGAGTTTGTCTTCAAATTTGTGCAGGGGTTCCGCTCTACGCCTTGCAGCTTTTTCTTCTCTCCGCCGGGCACGTTCTTTCTCTCGATCTTTCTGTTTGGCCATCCAATCTTTAAGCTGCTTCTCATTATTGATATCTCTCATACGACGGCCACTCAGGTCACGGCAAGCTTCCCGGTTTGTGGTCTTCTCAATTTGGGCCCCAATTGCCCGAAGCATTGACCCAAATCCTACAAAACATGGCATATAACAGTAACTGTAAGGAAGTGACAGCAATCAAATTTCAATGCAAATATAAAAAATAAACTGATTCTTACCTCCTTTTCCACCAATGAGCCTGGGCAACAAATGGTAAGTCTGGCCTCCACTAATGAAGTCATCATCATGTTTGATACACGTTTGGGATAAGACATAAAATTCATCTACCAGAGAATTCTATAAAAGAAATTAAAATAAAGGTGTTAGCATGAGTTTATAAAAAGGAAAACAGTTCATGTTAATAATTTGCCGTCAAGTTGTCATTAATCAATCCCCCCCCCCTCAACATTCCCTTTATTTTACGAGTTAAATAGATCACTTTTTTTTTTTTTTGTCGGCATTTATTTGGACATATAATGCCCATGTACTTTTTGATCAAGGAACAAAAAAAAAAAAAAAAAGTTGTGCCATTAAAGAGAAAATTCTTAGAGAAATTATTTACATCCACCTTTAATGAGCCAAAAAAAAAAAAAAAAATACAAACTCAAATTTTAAAAATTTACCAAAAATTGTCTCTGATTTCAGTAAAATTTTCATTTATGAAGGAATTTGTGGAAATAAGTCAAAATCTCAGTAAGACTGGATTGTCACTTCTACTTAGAATCAGAGTGTAATATCTGCATCTTGTGTAATGGTCTATTTTTATATTTGCTACTTTGCTGACTGATGTTATGTTTTAGCCAGCTAGTTTATTGTTTCAGTTTCATATAATGGAGGATAAAAAGATTAAATGAGATAGTGTATTTTGCAACCACAAGTTTTCAAATTCTACAACTAAGATAACTTATAGAATTATTGTTAAAAGAGAACAACAAAGAAGACTGCTAAATGTAACATCCTTTCTGACAATTTCTTTCTAAAATGTCAAGTATTAAGGATTTAGAATGAATAATGAAAAAAAACAAACACACACATTCAGTTTTAAAGAAATTGCTAAAAAGATTTTTCTTTTATATACTAACAGGATTTATATGAAGAAAAAATGATATTTATAAACAATGTTATGTAACTTAATTTATTTCAGGTGAGAAGTGCAAAAAAAAAGAAACTAGTAAAATAGAAGTGGTAGTTAATTCAACAGTAAAACAGTGAGATCCAGTTGCTGATCTAGAAGCATGCTTAAATTCATGTACTCTGGGCACAAGGAAAAAAAAGCTCATCAGAACAGGTGCCATGAAAAGATGCGTTGAAAATAGAGGGAAGTTAAGATGGCTGGTTAGGATCGATTATATTACAGGCTCTTTGAATTTTATCAAGAATTTCAAGATATACAGTAGGAGCCCCAAACCATTTAGGGCAGCAGTAGTCAATGCACGGATGAATGGTAGATTTATAAATATACAAGATGGATTCTGACCCAATACAGTGAACCAACTTTGCTAGCAGCAAATTCAATATAATCACTCCACTTCATGTTGGTGAAAAATGTGGACACAAGTTGGTGTCGAGAGTGTTGAGCTTCTGTAGTTCACCTTCCTCCATGCATATGGCAGACAGAAAAGGCTCTCTGTGGTGATTGAATGAAAACAGTTTTGTTTTGGAGACCTTAAAATTTACAAGCCATTTCTTGCCCTAGTTAAAAAAGTTATACTATCAGAAATTCTATCTAGTACACAAGTCATAAAATGAAGAGGAATGATAAAGGGCTCTTTAAATATTGTTGATAAGTTTGAGAAAAGTCATAATCATCCTGTAATTCATATTTTTTTTTTAAGAATCAAATTTCTTCTTAATATAACGTTAAATTGAACTCTTTAGATGCAGAAGATAAACTAATATATCACTTCTTGCAGTTTCCTCAAACACCAGCAATTATCCCTGTCTTTCAGTTGGTACTTTTCTGCTAGGCAGAAACCAGATTCTCAACCTTACCTCTGGTTAGACTTAAGGAAACAAATGATTTCACTCATATATGACTTATATTCACAAACACATAAAGGACTCTATACACACTGACATGCCAAAATTATGAGAGAGGTACTGCTTTCCCTCCTGATGCTAGTGTACTGGTGATGGAGGAAGGGGTCTAAGCCAATGACATAAGTATTCATAGTTGGGATAAGAATGATCCTGAACAAAAAATTCCTGTACCAAGTGTTCTAAGAAATAAGACTTTCTAAAATAGGAATTGGAATGAAAACAATGATGAAAGCATTTACCATAAATCCATCTTAAAAATTCAGGATGTGAACTAGTAAATAAACACTTCAAATATCTCAGTGTATGGATCAATCATAACAGATTTAGTATAAGAGAGAAATAAATTGAACATAGAATAGATTGTATTAAGGGTAGTTTCGCATGACACTGCAAGTTGTTACAAAACCAAAACATTAAATCAAAAACTTGAGTTATGTTCTTTAATATACACATCCTTCTTCAAACCTTGTAGACTGGCACGACAGAATCAAAAAGAACTTTACCAAATACCTACAGCACATCACTTGAGAATTTTCAACAGCAGTAACAACTAAAATGAATAGCATATCTCACTTGAAAAGAAGATAATAGCATAATCAAGATGTTGACATTTCACACCACTTCAAACATAAGGTTACGAAAGAAACACCCATCAATACAGAGTGATAACACAACAGTGAACTCAAGAAACCTGTTTTCCTGAAAAATTGTTTTACAAGAAATATTTTATAAATTTCAACTGGCAGTAAGAATAATGGCTCAGAATGAGAAATCGAAGAGATGAGTTCAAATTTCAATTGAATTTGTTTACATTCACTTATGTACAAATACAGTTGCAAAAGGTATGAATCCATCTCCCCTCAACTATAGGGTTATATATAGCAGAACAGACTGGGCCTTATAGCTTTGGTTCACAACCAGTCTAGGAGGAGTAAAATTCTGAATTCCAATCCTGACAAGGGGTCTTTTGGAGATCATGTAATACACTGTGCTGTACTCTGTATCTAATTTTCAAAAAAAGTCTGGATAGTCTGGCTGTTCAGTTCTAAGACCTGAGCTACTGGACAGTCATACAGCAAAATACAGCAAAGTATTTTGCTTATTGGAAATATTAAATTCAATCTATTAGCTTGGAATTAAAACTAAAATTAAAGCTTTCAGAAAGATTTTTCATTTTTAAAAAAATCATTTTAAAAACTTTAGGTATTTCTTTTTGTTTTTGCATTAACTGTTAACAAAAAGTGCATAAAACACAAAGTGTGGCCTAAGCAGCGAACAAAAATGACAAAATATAGAAAAAGGTAAACATAATATAGGTACCTCTACGAGATTGCTAAAAAAAAGAGCATAGCATGATGAAAAAGACGCCAAACTTGACAAAAACAAAATTTTATCGTCTAAATGTTTATGTTATTATTAAGAGGAAAGATCAAATTTTTGGGGGTGGGGTATTTTTTTTTTTTACATTTTTTAATCGTTCCTAGCACATCTGAAATTTTCGTTAAAAATCTTGTTATTTCGAGTCAGCAAAATTGAACATTTTTTTCCATTTTATAAAAAACTGGAAATCTCACTTTGAAATTCTGTTAAATATCAATTATCATTTTTTCAAAACTTATTTTAAGAAAATCAGAAATTATACTGTTTATTTAAAATATTTTGAACCAAGCTTAACTGAGCTTATGTACCGAAAAGATGTAATTTGAAAATAAAACAAAGCAAGTCATAAACTTTTGCGTCATTTGACAGGTGATAAATGACATATTGACGGATTCCGTGAGGATAATTTGTTCTATGGAAGGAGAAAAGTGAAATAATTTACATTTAAGTGAACAAATTATTTACCTCATTATTTTTAAGAAAAACTTTCAGCGCTCTAATTTTATTTTTGTACTTAGCTTTCACCTTTATGTTTACGATGCTTTATAGAAAATATATTATAAAGAAATTAAAATAAGACTGTTAAGAGTGAGATTAAATTTCATATTTCCTAAGAAAGGTATCTAATTAATTTATAGATATCTTTCTTATGAAATTTTATCAGAAGTGTACATAAAATACTATAATTTTATGTACATTTATTATATTTTACTGTGTTATTTGTATTTTCATTCATTTTATTATTAATTTTGATATTTCATTTATGGAAAAATGTCATAACTGAGATTAATATAAAAATAAGATCATATAAATTTCATAAGATGATACTGATACTTGTAGGTACCCTTCTCAGTCGAAATTGAAAAATCAAATTAACTTCTCCACATGTGTTTCGCAAAAGTAAAGACCTTAACAGCAGAGAACAATGCTTAATAATAACGCAATTGTATTCTGGTTGGTCTTCCGTACTTTATAATTACAGCACGATTATAAACACAAAATTACATTTCTTAATTACTGTGGATCTTCTGATTAGTTAAAATGATCTATCTCATAAGGAGACTTAGGAAACCCGATGCAGCTTTTAACTAATTTTATATTTTAACAACTTAAATGTAAAAATCTATTATAATTAAGAAATAACAAATAATTGTATTAAAAATTCATTTTTCATTGAAAAATTTTTTGCTTTCAGAAAATATTGTCCATATTCATAAAAGCAAATAAAAGCATTTAAAATTAAATAACATCTTTGTTTTATTGAGTTTTGTATGTTACAATTCAGAGCTGATTTTTAGGGGGGGGGTTAATAAATATTAAAAAAAAGAAAAAAAAAACATGATTTGCATTCCTTAAAGCCTTGCGCTTTTAACTATTGTAATCACTAAACCCGATGTGATCGAATTTCTAGCGTTTTCATAAAATTAGTTGGAGGCGGGAGGGGAGGGGGTAATAAATATTAAAAAAAAAATATTTCTGCCATGACTTTAATAATAAAAAAAAACATATTTAAAATAATTTCGATCATCTGTGAATAGTTCCTGAAAGTTTCATTAACATCCGACAATTATTTTTATTTTTGCAAGATTTTTCAAATTAATGTGTGTCATACCAAAAAAAAATGTGCTAAAAATTGTTTATGTTATTTTACTAGTTCCAGTGATACAAAGAGAAACAAGGTTTTTTTTAATCAAAATTTAGAATGTTCTAAAAAGAAGGAAAAATTTTTTAAAATAATTAAAAAAGACTTTGGTCTTTCCTCTTAATAATAACATAAGCATTTAGACGAATAATTTTGTTTTCAGCAAGGTTGTTGTCTTTTTCATCAAGCTATGCTCTTTTTTTAGCGATTTCATGGAGGTACCTACTATTACATATTGTATAAAAATTCAAGTGACTTATCTGATTTGTTAATTCCTAGGTTTTTGTGTCAAAATGCTCATCAGGGCCAGATGTTTGAATCTATTGAATTTATTTACACATTTGCCTTAAAGCTGAGATTAACTGGAAACAGAAATCAAAAGAAATTGGAAATTCAGTATTAAATTAATACTGTACTTCCACTTACCAGTGATTATATTACTTGTTCAGCAAACATTTCAGGGAGTTCAGTTTTTAGGATATTGTTGGTTGAGTTTACCACTGGTTAACGTTCTAAAACAATATTGAATTACCTTACATTTCTTTACCTAGCTTACCTTAGTTGCATTTTCTGCTAATTTAAAAATTTTAAATTATAAGCAATTCGATTTCTACCTAATCTTTTAGAGATTTTCCTCAGTCGTCAGCAGAGAACTGTTGCAGAATTTATGCTAAGTAAGATGTGTCAGAAGGTGAAATTGTGTGAAGGCCTAAAATGTGCGTGTACATTATGCGTTTATCCACAACAAATAAATTAAACGAACATATGAAGACAATTCAATTTGAAGAAATCAAGGAAAAACAATGTAGTTATAGATTTCAAGAATAACATGTATTTATATATATATATTTGACATACACAAAGTGATGATAGGTTGCTTGTTAAATGTGGCAAGTGAGATAAGATTGCAAAGAGTGTCCATGCAGAGATTTGGTGAATGAATGTTGATAGCTTAAGTTTGTTTGTGAAATTAAAAGTTTTATTTCTGCAAGATAAAATGTCAATTGTGTGAGTTCAAATAATAGTGTGTATGTTAGTGACAATTGTAAGTATTGATTCAAGTTAGGAAGAGTTGTGTGCCTTTGACTGATATGCTAAAATTGATTAAATGTACAATTACTATTTCGTAGTGATAATGTCACTTTTTTAGTAAATTGTAAGTTAAGTTTCTTCACACGGCAATAGTAGTAATGAGTCAGTGTGTTGGCACGCGTGGAGTCTGCTGGCATCTCTCGAAACTCAGTGTCTGACTGACTTGAATTAAGTCAAGCGATTCTTTTTATAGATTTTTGGGTTTTCAAATAGGCTCCAGACAGCTGCGTGGGAAAAAAGGATTTCTCTCAACTTGCTACATTTTTGTGTCCTTTTAACCAATGGGAAGTTGAGTTTGGAAAAGTGAAGTGATGATTGGTTAAAGGTTAATTTGGGTAAGAGTGCAACTTCCCATAGGGGGTGACAGGCAAGTATGGAGGATTCATAGAACATTTAAATTACCATTTAAAAACTTGTGTGAACAGTGAACTTAAGTCTAAACAACCTCTCTTAAGCAGAGGGAATGACTTCGGGGTCTGAAATCTGTGACTCATAGTGCTGATTCTCTGATTATAAAATGAATCCATGACAAAATCCAAGTCTCATTTAGATAAGGTGTAAAAAAGGCTATTCACCTGATATGAAAGTATTCTCATCCGAGAGTGTAGAGGAGTTCCTGCTGGGTGTTGGAGCATACATTCGTTTCAAAACAAGTTTCAGATGGAGCATAAAAAGAATGTGCTGACTGTTGATCGTCTCAATTTGACATTGCGGTGTATATATATTATTAATAATTATTTATTGTTATTGTCTCAATTTGAATCAAAATTTATTCGAATTTCCAATGAGACTATATGTGACTGAGATTTGGTCCACTTTTAGGATCGCCTGAGTTTTGTCTTGAAAGAGCAAGATCAAATATTTTTTTTAAATTTTAATTACTCATGCAATTTTTTTTTTTTTTAACAAGAATACTCATCATTTATTGTTATTTTTTTTCCAACAATAAGATATTGTAATTTATTGAAACAAAGCAAGTTCAGTTGACCATTGATGACAATTCCAGAAACTATTAACAATTTTTTTTTTTTTTTTTTTTGCTATCCTCTGCCAGCCGCAATGGAGAAAGCATTACCTCGAACCATCATGAGACTTCCTGGTCATAAATGTTGAAAAATATTTTAGCTTTTGTTTCCGGACAAAATATTTTAAATAAATTAAATCATATTTTTTTTAGTATATTTTATAAGAAGTCGCTATTTTTTATTTATTTCGAATGTGTGACTTTATTAAGACTTTAAAGTCCTAAATAATTTAAAAAAAAAAAAAAAAGTTGGGGTTGTAATAAATGATTTTAAAAGGGACATACGTGGTGTTTGGAGTTTGGTATATGCAGGTTTGAAACAATAACTAACAATATCCAGTAAATATTAAACATTTTATTTCACTTTCTTTAGTTTGGATTTTTTATCGTTACGCAATAAAAACAAACATTAACTGCATCGTTTAAATTTCTAAAATCTTATTTCAAACAATTTTTAGGAAATTACTTTTTTTTTCCAACTTACCTGAAACTGCGGAAACTGTTTTCTTAAAACCCAACTCTTAAATCCACTCACGGTTAATGGAAACTCGCCATCATAAATGAGAGTATTTTTAAATCCAGAAATATGAATGTTTGCTAAGCAAAAATTATTCATTGTGTTCGTTATAGCTATTCACAAGTCGATCACCAAAACAAAAACAGATAAGAATACAAATTAACACTGACAAATGGCGACCACGTCGGAAATTAAATAACGAGCATGCGCAAAAGCAGTTATCCTTTTGTAGCCAATCAAAATTAGAGTTTGCATTTTCTGCTCTACTATTACATCCGGTTTTCTATTATTGCTTAGCAACAGCGTCAACAGCAGGACAGTAAAAAAGAGTAACTGGTTTTAAAATAAATATAAATAAAAGTAAGAAATTCAGATTATTATTTACACTTTTTTTGCCACGAGCGTAGATAACAGAGCGAGTTGAAGTTCACTGTAAAAGTGATATTTTACAATTTCGAATTTAAAATTAATTAACTCAAAGTCAAAACTAACAATGCAATCTCTTGTCTTTGTTCGCAGTAAAAAAAAAACAATCTGAGAGTTATCTACCTTTAACTCTGTGTTTGACCCGACTGGGTTTCTGATTATTATCCATAGAGACACAGGAATCACTTCTAATGAATATATATAAACTTGCTTCCTGAGTAACTATTTAACAGGGAATACCTTTATTGCATTGAGAATAAAAGATTTTTCAAAAGTGTCAGGAGTATGCTTTTTAACTGCGTCGAAAGTAGATAAAATTGCGTATTTTGTGTGTGTTCCCCTTTTTCAATAAAATACGTCTTTTTACTCGATGTGCTTAATTTTTGCACAAGAATTAGTTCTCGAATTGCTTAAATAGTTAAATTAATTTTTTAGGAATAGAAAGGAACATATTTCAATATAACTACTCGAAGAATTGAGAGAATTATTGTTAATTGCAGTATAAAAATAAAACATATTTAGTAACTCATTCTGTTTATTACGTTTAAACTTTTCTATATTTTATTTTTGTCTTTTTTTTTAGTTTTGTCTTTGACGCATTTTTTGTTAACTGTTAATGCAAAATGTTGATGTTAATATATTTAGTTAAGCACTTCGAAACAAAAAGTAATACCCAAGTTGTTTAAAATGCATTTTTAAAAATGAAAAAATCTTTGATGGAGCTTTCTTTTTCAGTTTTAATTCCAACCTAATTAAATAAATTGAATTTTTTAATATTTCCAATAAGCCAAATGCTTTGCTGTATTTCAAACAGAATTTATATTGACTGGAATGATTTTTTAATCGCTAAAATTAGCAATATTGACAAATCTGGCAACACAATACTTTTTGTTTAAAAAATGTTTCAAAAATAAAATAAAATGTTCTGAAACGTAATTCGAACAATGTTATTGTTAACTGATTTAAACTTTAATTAATCTGAATTAAAACTAATAATACTTTTATTTTAAAATTTCACAGAAAAGGATTTTTTAACACGGTGGTGTGTGTTTTTATGGAGTGTGTTATGGGGCTGCGTGTTCTTTGGCGCATATATCTTTTGTATTATTAAACATCCAAGACAACAACGAAACTCCAAATGTGAATCAACAAGTATATATTGAAATAACACACACGAACGAAATATACAATAATTTGTATTCAATGTATAGATTAAGGGAAAAAAGTTGCTTCCCTTTTACCGTATTTTGATTTGTATTTGATTGTTCGAAAGAAAGTTCTCGTGAGAGAAAAATGTTCAGGAATCAATATTAGAATAAAGGACTGTTTGTTAAAATAGATAACACAAGAATACAATTGATCAAAAAGTGTGTTGTATTAGAGAAATCAGCAGAGTCATGGTTGATTGAACTTGGATGAGTTACAGAGAGATATGTATTGCAAAATTCTGTGTCTGTGTGTGCGTTTGAAATGTGAGTAAAGTCATAGGTTTGTGTTGACAGGCGAAATTTGCTGGACTCTACTGGCGACTTGCGAAAAAGTCGGCAAGAGTTGTTGTCAATGGTCTTCTAACGTCTGACCGCACGGTTAAGACGGGAGCTCTTGAAAACTACATCTTGGCAGCAAGGAAAAAGAAGAGAACGAGAGAGGCTTATTCGTGTTTTGTTTATATAAGGTTGTGTCTCACGTGACAGGTTCCCAGCCTTGTGCGCAGGAAATCTTATTCATCGTGTGCAGGCAATCTGATTGGTCGGAATTGACCAACCAGTGAGCTAGTTTTGAGGAGATTAGCCAATGAATGCTTGGCGTATGATCTGTATGTATGTATGTGTGTGTGATGGCGATGATGATCGCTACAGGTGTTGATAGATTTATCGATAGCTTAACGTTTGGCATTTCTAAATAAAGGGAACCTAACTGTAAAAATTACTTAACGAATACAACACAAACATCTTTTTTATACAATTTTTTAACTACCCAGTAATCTTAAAATTTTTTAAATATTTCAAGCATTCTAATTTCTTAGTGAATTGTAGGTACTTTAGTCTTACTAACGAAGACGTTTGAAATGTTATAAAATTACCAATAAATTTTAAATTTACTATAGTTACTGCTCTTATTTTCTCATAATACCGAGTATCGACGTCCCTATTTTCAAAATCAGCACGTTTATACAAAATAAATAAATAATAGGGGTCGCTGAATTGTAGTATGTTGTTCCATTTATGATTAGTAAATATAGATTTTACTTAATAACAATATCACCTAACCGCTACCAATTATTACAGAATTTAAAGATTTAAAACTTTATAAATTATAATTAAAACTTTAAAAACAATTCTTGTAAAAATTCATTATTCATTGAAAAACAAATTGTTCTTAAAATAATAGTCTCCACAATATTCATAAAAAACAATTAAAAGCTTTTCTAATTAAATAATATCTTAGTTTTACTGCCTTTTCTATTTTACTATTTAGAGCAGATTTTCTATAATTGGGGGAGCTGTATGACAACATATATTGATTTAAATTCTCCAAGGACTTGTGTTTATAACTAATGTACATATTAAATTCTACAAAATTTGAGCTTCTTGAAATTTCATAAAATTAAATCAGTTGGAGTGGGGTAGGGAGGGGAGTAACAGATGTAAAAAAAATATTTTCCTAAGATTTCAAAAAAATGAAACATTTCTAAAATAATAATAATGTAGTCCTGGAAGTTTAATTAAATTTCGACAATTATCTAATTTTTACAAGAATTTTCAAATCAATGATTTTCATAGCAAAAAAAAAATCAGATTTCCCGCACTAATTTGTGGTCCGAAGTTGATGCAAAAAAAAGAACAAATTTTTAATCAAAATTTCGAAGTTTCTAAAAAGTATTAAAAAATAATTTTTACGTCAAAAAATCCTTTGATTTTTCCTCTAAAAAGTGAGCATACATGATGAAAAAAGAACGTCCCAAATGAGCAGACATGATGAAAAAGTAGCCAAAACTTAATTTTTTAAAAAGTTTTATCATCAAAATCTTGGCGTTATTATTGAATAACCCAAAGATTTTGATGATCTAACACTAACTTCCCAATGGAGAAAAAACTGGCTGCTTACATTCAATGCTTCTAAAACCAAACTGGTTACATTCCATCACCGCCGATGAGAGCCCGAACTACCGCCAAACACGAGGAGGCCCCGTGCCTCGGGAGGATATTGGGCCTCAAACTCACACCTGGCCTCATGTGGAATTCCTACATACGATCCATCGCTAAAGATGCAGGTAAAATGATCGGCTCCCTGTACAGCTCCGGTAAGTACCTGACTCCTCATGCCATCTTCTACTTTTATAAGAGACAGATCAGGCCGAAAATGGAGTACCGTTGCTATATTTAGGTAGGAGCTGCCCAGACCTCACTTTCCAGTTTTGATAGAGTTCAAAAGCGTCTCCGAGTCCTTATTCGAGAAGAATTATTTTCCACCCTGCAACCTCTCTCTGATAGGTGGGATGTGGCGAGTCTCTCACTTCTTCATCGTTACTATCACAGAAAGATGAACTACATTCCTTGGTTCCGTAACGTCTAACCTTCATGGCCAGAACTCGCCATTCCATTTACATTGTAGCAAACAACCCTCATTCCTTCCATATTCCATCGACGAGAAGTAAGTTCCACTCAAACATCTTCCCACGAACTGCTCCCTATGGAACAGACTCCCGATCACTACAATTTTAACCTGTTCAAGTCTAGAGTCAAACGTTATCTTCCCCTCCTATCCATAAAACTACCCCTTATCGTAACACTCTACCTCAGGTTTTGTACAAGGTGAACCTCACTGTTAAAGAAAAGAAAACTTTTTTTTTTCATCACGTATGCTCATTTTCTAACGACTCTTTAAAGGTAGGTGTCTTGGATAGACTGGTTTCCCATGCCAACGGATTCTATGTACCTGATTTGAATATTACCTATCCTATAGTATATTCATATCGGGCATTTTGATTATGTCCGTTGAAAAGTGGTGTTTAGATGTACATGATAACATGTTGTTGTTCATATATTTCTATTATTAAACTATTTATAGAGACCAATCACTTTTCAGTAAAGCGTAGGACCTGCGGTTACAAGTATAGCAGTTGCTATGTTTTTCACGCCCACATACACTCCAAGTAATTTTATTCGCCTGCGATTGGCTAATAAATTACTACTACCTTTGTATAGGACAATTTAGCAATCGTAGTCCTTCCTTAAACGAAGAAAGAAAATCACAATATTGATCCATATTTTTTAATCCAATCTAAGCTTTCGGCTTACATAAGCCATTATCAAAGATGTTAATTACTGTACAACATATTAAGCGATATACGGACAAGACAGTTGATATTCTGTTATTGTTTACATGAATGATTTCCGAGCAACGATAAACACGTGCATATAAGACGCTAGAAGCGAAAATCGCACCGCAGCTCATGACGTCGCACATGACCACGCGAGAGTGAATTCGAAAAGTATTAAGTGTGGGAAGCCGTTGGTATAAAGCAATGGCTTCTGTTACCAATTATAGACATTTAAGTATATTTGTAGAGATTCCATAGTTGATTTTGTTTAGGTTAGGTTTCAACTGTTTGATGTATATAGCTTCAAGGATTTTTAGTTTTTGTCTATTGTTTTCATGTTTGAGTATAA